GGGCAGCCCGCTGCACTCGGCGTACCTCAGGCAGCAAGACTGGCCGAGAGCCAGAGGTGGCACCAACCTCGCCTCCCATTGTCCCCCTCAAGAGTCGGAATCTGGCGGCAACAGTCACAGCTCAACGCCCAACTCACAGATGAGCAGGAGATGAGAATCTAAACAGACTCACTAACTTGGCATTAAAGCTTCAGAAATCTCTGCGTTTGATATTCAAACATCATGTGCCGGAAATTTTCACAGTTTTTAGTGAATTTAAGGAATTTAGATCCTCCTTTGGTATTTTTTTCTCCTTGTTTTAATTTTTGTTTTGTTTCTGTGTTTTCTTGTCACACACCTGAGCACTTCCTCCAGTTGGCAGACAGAAGTTCAGGACAAGACCTTCCTGGCTTGGTCCTGGCACATCCTCTGCACTGTTGAATCACTGGACTTAGCAATGTTAGATGATCACCCCTCTCCCTCACACCTAGGGCAGGGTGGAAAAGCAAGATGGGCAGAGGGGATGGAAAGCTACTGTTCGGCATGGCCTTATATTAAGGTGGAACAGAGCAAGGGTGCTGTGGGCTCTCAACCCTCCACTCCCGTCTTTGGCTCGACTGAGCTGTAGCCTTCCTTCCTGGCTGAGTCCACCTAGTTTTCTGGGCTGGGGCACCCACCAGAGCCTCTTTGCCATAACTGCCAGCTGCTCTCACTGAGTTCTCGGCAGAATGGCTTCCCCTTGTCTCCAGGACCTTAAAGACTTACTTTCAGTTTTATCTGCGTTTGATCATCTCTGTCTTGACTCCTTAACTGCAGTAACCTGGCTGTGGCTGCTCAGGTTTCCCCCATCCTGCCCTCTCCTGTCTGCCCTCTGCCATGCACACATCGGTCCTTCCACTCTGAAGGTATTTACCGCCTGTCCTAGTCTATAAAGTTAGGTTTAGGGCTACTTAATGTTTGTCTCCTGTCCCTAGGGGGTTTGGGAAGTGAGCAGCCATTTTCCCTGTATAATTTTGTTTTCACTGACCGGTTCACGTAATCACGTTTCCTTCACCTCCGGTTCTTGTCAGTGTCAGTTAGACTCTGTCTGCCATGCTCCCCTTGCCTGTGGAACATCGTCGGATCCTAGCTGTGGTTTCCATCACTCCCATCACCCTCTTTTGTTAACCTTGTGCCTGTCTCATGTATAATCACATCACCAAAAAGGGGGAGGGGGGAAGGACTTTTTTTTCCTGCCATTTTGTAATCGTATAAAAAATAGTAGTCAAACTGCTTAATGGTTCCGGGGTTTTTTCACAATTTTCAACATTAGTGATTTTTTTTTTTTTTTTTTCTGTTTGCAAGTTAAAGGATTTGTCATTGTTTCTTTTAAACAACAATAATGCACCATATCCCTATGCATAAAGTGCTTCTTCTATTTATAAGGTTGAAGATTCTGAATAACCCTTTTAGCATTGTAAAAAAAAAAAAACAAAAAACAAAAATTTAAAAAAACTTGTATTTTGTAAATATTTTCTTTTTCCTGCTTTGAGCTGTGTAATGGCAGCGAAACATGTAGCTGTCTTTGTTCTATAGAAATGCTTTTCTTCAGAGAAGCTGATCTTTGTTAATGTCTTGATTCTGTTCGCAAAGCACAGACTAGTGCTTAAAAAAAAAAAAGAAAAGAAAAAACAAAAAAAATAAAAAAAAAAAGAGTTACAGAATTTTGCGTGTCAGGCCTTCCTTGATGGTCGGGGGTGTACATAGTTAGCAGTTCCTGCTCTGGAGGTAGCTTTGCTGGAGCCATGTTTTAGGGTTCGTACTGTGGTTCATCTCCATCCTGTCCCCTGGGAATATTGGTAGTTTCATGTTATTGGAGGTGTGTGTAGTAGTTTTCACTGAGTGTAAAGGTTGCACAGGTCATCTGATTTTTCTTGTTGAGGGGAAGCAGTTGATCATTGCTTCTCTGTTCTTTGCTCTAGTGAGGTTGGCAGTGTAGCATGTGTAGCTAAATTGCTTTTTAATGGAGGTTTTACTTTTCATCCTCAAACTTTTCTGGGTTGGGGGGTCAGTAATTTGTATAGCACATGGGTTGGTTCCTGGCTGCACCTGACAACACAGTGTCTGTCTTCTGAGAATGGCTACATGCCTGGTTTCCTTGAACAAGGTGGATTAGTGAGTGCGCCTGGTTCTCTTTTCTCCATTCTGAGGCAGTCAAGGGTTAACATCTAGTGAGGCTGCACTCATGGTTCTGAGGGCAATTGTCCTGAGAATAGTTTTCTTTGGCTGGCCTGTGGCTGCTCTTGTAAATTGTAGGTTAAAATCTGCTTGACTGAAGCAGCTGTCTGCAGAGAGGTAAATACATCAGGAAGATTTGAGGAAAGTAATATTTAAAACTTGGTGTGAGACACTCAGGATTCACACATGCACCCTTTGTGATATTGCTAGGAAGAAGCTATCAGGTATCCTTTTTTTTTACCCAGTGCTCAGTATGAAACCCAAGTCTTCACACACCCTAGGCAAGTGCTGTACCACTAAACTGCCCACCAGCCCCTAGTATTCCTATCTTGAACTACAGAAACATTTATCAGTCAACAGTAAGGTTCCAAAGGAAAGAGAAAGGTAGCTGTGTTTGTAAACCTGGAAGGAATCTGCACCATTTATTCAGCTGACTGGCTTGTTTTCTGCTCCAACCTGGGTCCTCTAGATTGACTTCTAGGAACAAAAGATCTAATACGCCCACTCCAGCTTTCTTGGGTTTGAATCCCCTTGCATGAGGACACAGTGCAGCATTATGAATTCAGCCACAAGGGTGGCTGTTCTTGAGTTGGATGGTTTGCCGGCACCAGAATGAGACCATGAATGGCGAATGAACCAGTCTGACCCCAGAAAGCTGCCAATCCTGATGTCCAACTCCCCCACCCCCGATATCCAGCTTTTAACAATAACTGCCATTGGGTAGAAAAAAAACCTGGAAGTCATGTATCTCACATAGTTTTCTTGTCCTTCAAATCCATGAACAGAGACTTTTATTTAATCAGAGTAATAACTTTATTTTCAAATTCACTTTTACAGCAACAGTCAATGTAAATCATTTGTTAAAACGCACAATACACTATATGGACATTCACAGACAGGAAGCTAAGCTAAGATGGTTTTGTGTCCCTCCCCCCACCCTTAGAATTACCAGAGAAATCATGGGACTTCAAGTGCTGGAAATTTACCTGCCCGGAACAGCAAATTCACAGGTTGAGTCTATTAAGACTGGATTGGTGCCCAAGGTAACCCTTTACAAAGCCGGAGAGACAGTGGAAGGCTCGTGAAGCCACAGACCTGTAGCTGACGAACACATCTGCCCTTGTCCCCATCTCTAGTTTATTTGGGAAACAAAGACGAGGGTGAAGAGATCTCAGCCGCTGCTAGAAGAGTCGACTGCGTGTCTGGGGCCAGTGGGAGAGGTGACACCGAAGTGCCAATGACTTGGAAGGAAGGATGCCAGGGTCTCAGCATGGTCAAAGCAAGCTGACCTCTGATTCCCACACAAGCCTGACAACCTGTACCTGGCTGGGAAGTGGGTGGGGATTAGCTGGCTGCTTCGGCAGCTGGGAAAGCCTGTCAGCGGAGCATGGAAGCCCCAGGCCCCTGGCCCCACGGCCCCTCCCTCTAGCAAGTGTGGGTGAAATCGTAAAAGGGTTACAAGGTGGCTTAACTGCAGCACTCAAAGACTTCCTTTGCCCATGTGAACTATCTTACATGTCCTTCCCTCCCCCCACAGCACAACAAGCAATCGCAAACAGGATACAGTCTCACCACGGAAGTCAGTTTAAATGGGAGTATTGATACAGTGAATCCACAGCTTGAAGGAAGCAGGCATTTAGTATATCCTGTCTAACCCACCCCAGGACCTTGCCTTTGAAGGTGGGAGAAATGGGGAGAGGGAAGAGTACCTAGCCCTGAGGAGATTGTCCTCACGAAAGTAACAAGCCAGCATCCCTTTGCAGGCTACCTATCAACATTGACCTAATCACCCTAAAACCATAATCCTCAGGCTGTGCCCAGTAGCCCACCTACTCCATGTAAGGTTCTGAAGAGCAGGGTGCATGAACTTCGGGAGAGGAAAGGAGGTGTGAGAAGAAACGGCCCGAATCTGTGGCAGTGATGAGGGATCCATATGTCTAAACCATACTTTTTCTCCCTCAGAACTCGAGGCCGACGTGGCCTCAGGACAGTAGGGAGCCCCACAATGAAAGTTCTGGGCCCAGATGAGTCTGTTCTGCCCAGCCAGCCCCTAGGTTTCCTCCGCTGAGTTCCTGAAAAGGCTGTTTTTCCTTTCCCCACAGCAGAGTTTGTGCAGTTATCAGCAAGCTGATGAAGCTTTGGGAACAAATGGTGTCTTCTGACGACCCCTTCCTCAGTCATCAGTCTCCTGGTGTCTGTCTGGATCAGGCAGTCCATCATCCCGATCCCTGCTGGGGAGAAGGCAGGGGGAGCACAGACAGGCTCCCAGGCCGAGGGGTGAGCGGCCTAGAGGTTCATGGGGCTTCCTGGCCTGTAGCTCTTGTCCCCAGTGGGCACCGGCTTCCTCCTTGTAATACATTAGTTTGTAGACCTTCAAGGACTGCTGTGGGGTTTCGTGCTGTGGCCAGAGAGGGCCGTCTTCATGCTGCGAACCAGGCCAGCCACTGATTGCTTGGACACAGTGAGCCCGGGGAAGAGGGAAACTGCACAGCCTCTGTCCTGCTCCTGGGCTTCAGGCCTTCATAGTGGGGAGTCCTCAGCCAGGATCTGGTCTCCGTTGGGTCCCAGATGCTGCTAAAACTCTTGCAAAACTTGGGAGGCTCCGGCTAAGTGGAACCAGACTAGCCTGCAGCCACGTTCCCACATGGGGGCGAGAGACACCCAGCACCCCATGCAGATGCGCTATGAGAGATGAAAACCTCTCTGAGCTTTTCAAGATACATGCGTCCTTTTTTTTTTTTTTTTTTTTTTTT